TCCGGCTTCAGCCCTCCGACGTAACGGTCCACCCGCTCCGCTTCGTGCATGTAGCCGACTTGCTCGCATAATGCGAGAAAACCACTCGTATAGTCTTGAACCGATCCGAGCTGCCGCCAAGTGCGCAATCTCTGACGCGCCGAAATAGAAGCCGCGATCGGCTCGAAGCGCGCCCGAAGCCCTGCGCACCACGCATCCCACGTGCTGTATTGGGCGGTCTCGCAGAATGAACTCCAGGTGACAGCTGGGCCCGTGGGCCCTTCCTCTTGCGATGGTGGCTCGTAGGTGCGTGGCGACGTCACGATGACTCGCCACCAGTCCATGGCGGGGCCCCTTAGCAGCGAAACGGCATATCGAATCTTCGCTGCGTCCGACTCGACGTAATTCGCGTCGAAGAAGACGTTCATCGTGAAGACCCACGATTGAACCGTCGGACCTCCACGCTGGCTCGGGTCGAAGCAGGGCGGGCGTTGCGGCTTGAGTGGCATTGGTGCCATAATGGCCTGCTCGCCACTTGTCGCCGCGAACTCCACGTGCCGACGGGCTTCGCGAGGCTCCCGCGGGCTTGGTGCGACCCTGTTTCCTCCCATGCCTGGCATCGGCTGGGCGACGCCATCGCTGGCTGCGCCTGAGCGCTGTCCCACGCTGTTGCTTTGTGTTGGTGTGCCGGATGAGATGACGATCGGCTCGTCCGATTGTGCAGATGCATTTGTCGGTGCGTGTGGTGGCGCTGGAGTGTTCATCGTCGATTGCTGACGCACGGAGTCACGTTCCGCCGTGAGCGTCGCAATTTCGAGCGCCGAATCTTCAAGTTGGCGCACCAGACGGTCGAGCTGCTCCTGCGTCAATGTGGCGAGTGTGAATTCGGCCATGGCGGGGGTGTCGGGCGAGCTCAGCGAGAGCCTCGGTCGTGGCCGTGCGTGCTTACGAGAGAGCACTACGAGCGGCGGTGCTGTGTCGCTGAGATACGTCTACCCCCCCCCACAAAAATTGAGATAGTGGGGAAGCGAAGGTGTGGGTGCGGTCCGAGAAGAGATCGTAGGCTCTGAATACCAAGTGTTACGAGTGCAATTGAGTGAACGAACGAGAATTGCACTATCGAAGCAAGAGTACAATGAGCGAAGGCATGAGCGAAGAATATGTAGCGAAGCTACAGTGGTAACGCTAATGGACTGTGGTTCTCGCGCGACGGGCCTGGGACTGAGGTTGGGAAAAGTGTCGAAGCGGAGGCCCGGAGCGCGGGTTACCCGCCGAGCCGTGAGGTCGGGATGCGACGTGCGAAGGTGGCGGGCGGATTGTCGATGCGAGGGTTGCGAGTGGTAACGGTGCTGATTGTGGTGCTACAGTGATGTACGCGTTGAGCGGGGATGCGAAGTAAGGAAAAGGAATTTTCCTTACACGGAATCATACAACACTAAGAACATGTACCGTATTTGTTACAATTGCTGAATATTGAAAACCGAAACCATCATTAGTGCTGTACATACATTAAACGGCCAGAACCGCTGCAAGCTAGAACTGCAGGCAAATCAGTTACAATCCCCCCAAAAAATAGATGTTACTGTTCAAATTGCCTGTCCATCCATGCCATCTCACGTAGCGTAATGTATTTAACCACCAATCACACCACATGTAGATATTTAGTAGGATTCAACAGCAGTCCCAGCATCATGTTGTTTCACAACAAAACTGTTCCTGGCACAAGCACCATGTGATACAGAAGACACACTCCCGTGGTGCTGATAGGACAGGCGTGGCAGTCGGGGCAGGTGTGACATGTGGGAGAGCCTGTGGGCCACTGGAGGACTCGGCATGAATGTTGCTGCTGCCTCTGCTTCTTCCTCTTCTCCTGCCGCAACTCCTATCCCTCTCTTGTCCCCTAACCGTGGACCCACCACGCCCATTGCCTTTTCGGTAAGCCCTGCCATTTCTCCATCCTCGTTATAAGCTCCCTCGGCCGCAACAGAAAGCTCGCCCCCGTGCGTGTTGCTAGTAGTGCGGCCACGAGCAAGGATATCTGTACCATCAATTACTGCTTCAGGAAACTCAAGTTCCTGGTAGGTGGTGGTACCCTCAGCTTCATCAGCACAGGGAAACTCGGAAGTTTTACACTTGGTCGCAGTTGCTGACTCAGCACCCCCAGAAGCCGAAGCACCCTTACCAGCCTCAGCACTCTCAGCAGCCTCAGCACTCTCAGCAGCCTCAGCACTCTCAGCAGCCTCAGCACTCTCAGCAGAGACTGTGAGAGAAGCAGCACCCATGGTTGTAGCACCTCCACCGCCGCTCCGCTCACCCTGCTGTTTTCCTTGCTGCTCCCTCTGCTCCACTCCCCCAACTGGCGCCATCCAGACTATGCCTCCTACAAGTGAGCCAGCTCCGGTGGCTCCTACAGCTGATTTACCACTTTCGCCGACCACCACTGATAGCACGGCGACACTGGGAGACGGGTCACCGTCTATGGCGAAGCAAGCGAACCGATTGAACACGGACTCAGTCATGTTATGAGCATGTCCTTGGGAAGAAGAACCAGTGCCGCTGCTGCCGCTGCTGCTGCTCTACCTGCTGCTGCACTGCGCCCGCCACATCTGCGGTTTCAGCTCGACCCACGAGTCACACTGTAGCGAGGAGGCTTGTAACGAGGTGGCTTCATCACAAGAATGAAGTAGCGGAATTCCACACGAAAAGCGTTTTTCTGAACCTTTTCCAGATGATTTCAAAACGTAGGGTTGGAAACTTTTTTAGAAGAAAGTATCGAAGTTTTTCTGTATGTTCTGTCAGATGCTTTCCAGATGATTTCATACGTTTCGAGAGACTTCGGAAGAAGGTAAACCGAAGTCAGCCTTGACTCGCAAACCTCTCTGATGCAAAAACGTGGATGCCATAAAAACTCTTTATTGTATTGGCTATGAGCTACAAATTTGTTTTAAAATATGCAAGGTTAAAATTTGTAGGTGGTCAGTTTTATCCAATGTAAACGCATAATTTGATTATAATATTTGACATTACATCAATACAATGTTACGCTAAGCTAGCAGAGACCTACACATGTTCAACGTATCAGTAGTTGAAGCATGAGCCTGTCCAAAAAAACGCAGTTGAACCTGAACAAACAGCAATGCCTGCAGCTCGCGATTCCTGCAGCTGAGGTACACCAAACAAAAGCAGTTACTAAAAACGACCAGCAGCGGTTGAATCGTATGCTTACCACGATAGGCAATCTTTGAATTAATGAAGGGAAACCATCGACATGACGAGCAAGCGAGAATAGATATCAAATCAGATTAAGGCGTGAGTAAATGGTGACGCCATCAATAAGATAACCCTGCGACCTGTGAAAAGCAACGGGCAAACTGACGCGGGGAAACTATCGACATGACGAACAAACGCGATGGTTAGATTAGCTATCAAATCAGATTAACGCATGAGTAGACGGTGACGCCATCAATTATATAACCATGCGACCTGTGAAAAGCAAAGGGCAAACTGACGCGGGGACCTGCACATGCTCATCACGAAATCAAAACGAGGTGAGAAATGTCATGGCTTCTCTAACTGAATGGACTTCATGAGAAAAGAGACACGCAATAACTGCGGCCCGCTGGTGATAGGGCAGCAAATCGATTGAAGCTATGGCGGTAGACACTACGAGACTAAGGTAAGGAAGAAAGAGGAAGCAAACTAACGAAGTCACAGACACTAAGGAATAATAAGATGACGGGAAGCCACTTCCACACTTTGAGCTGGTGTGAAGGGTGGAGAGTGGAGAGTGCTGAAGTTGCGCAGGGGGTCGTTGGGACGCTATCGTAGCTGAGCTGGATGTTGTCGAGGTGGGTTAGATGGGCTGCCTGGATTGGTTGGGCTTCTGAGCTGGATGGAACAAGGCGACATGGATTGGTTGGAACAATTTCAGGTTTGGTTGCAGCCTGGTTTGAGGTTGGGATTGATCGAGGGCAAGTTGGATGCATGGGGGTGGAGCGCGATTGGTGGGGGGTGGTGCGCGATTGGTGTGGGGTGGAACGCGATTGGTGCGGGTGGAGTTTGATTTGTAGGATATCGAGGGTGCTGGGTGGAGGTGCTGCTGGCGTAGTCTAGGCGAAGGTTTGATGCTAAAAATCGTTTCGTAACAAACAGCTGTTACAAATTTACAATTTCAGTTACACATTCACAATTTCGATCTGAGTCACATTATAAAACGAAAATCATAATTGGAAATTTAGGTGTCATTATTCAATTAGGAACAAATCAACGTTTTATACAATGCAAACTCGAATATGCAAAGACAAACATCATTGTCAGCTAATAAGAAAATTTCGATTGACGACGACTCTCATAATTGCACTCTACTTGTGGTAGTGATTGTATGGCGACGTAGGGAATTAAACAGAGTAAGAGATGCAATCAACAAAATATTGTGAAAACAATCTCTAAACGTCTGTAAAACATCTCGTACTGCCAAACGATTACTAGAAGATTCTAAGAAGAGATTCGAACGATTTTCAAGTACAACTGCCCAAATCAAATTGTCAGATGATTTACATATGTACACATTTTTGTGATGTTGTAACGGGGATGGTTCCGGGTAGTCAACAAGGAGAGTGATGGCGGAAGGTTTTTGCGCGGGGCCGATGACACGGATGTCATAATTCACCACCACATGGCCGTTCCTGAAGGAAAGATAAGGGAGATTAACCAAGGGAATAGTGGGAATTAGTAGCACATAACACGGGGCCAATGACACGGATGTCCGTTCCTGAAGAAGAGAGGAGGACAACAATGTAACACTCATGACGAAAGATGGCTTTGGAGTTGCCTCAGAAGGCAGTCATGGCAAATTACTGGACGCAGTTTGGATGCAGAAAGATAACGCCCGAGCTCTCCAAACTGTTCCCAGTATTTTGCCATGACTGTCTTTTGAGGCGACGCAAAAGCCGTCTTTTGCTATGACTGATGTTTTTCTATTCTAGAAAGAAACGGAAACACTGTATCCAGCAATGATCGGCTTACTTGAAAGCTCCCAGCATAAACGCCCCTCCGCGCATGCCCAATGCAAGTCCCTCCCCCATCTCCCCCATTTCCCCCTCCAGCCGCACTTCCAGGCGCGGGTCCTGTGGGGGGTAGCGCGGAATGATGATGTCTGTGGTGGGAGATGGGGGGATGGGGGATGGACGAGGTGGAACGCATGGGAGAGTCTATGTATGAGGCGCCTCAAAAATAGAGCCCCGGGGGGAGGAAGGGGGGTAGCGCGGAATTATGATGTGGATGTGGGATGGACGAGAAGAAAGAGAAGGGAGAGGGGGAGGGGAGGGAAGAGAGGGAAGGGAAGTGGGGGGGTGATGGTAGGGGTGGGAGGGAAGGGAGTGGCCGAGGGGTGGGAGGGTGAGAGGGGAGCAAGAAATGGCAGGGGTTGAGAGGTAAGGAGAAAACGAGGTGCAGAGTGGTTAAGATGGGCACGCAAGGCAATCACGACGACTTGGGCTGGAATTGGGGTAGGGGTTGCTTTGCAAGAATGCAAGAATAAAGAGCCAAGTGGGCAGGGGAGGGGAGGGAGAGAGAGGAAATGAAGCAGACGGGGAAGTGGCATCACCAGGCAAGTCAGAACAATACAGCTCTTTCTATGACACTTTCAACAAGTGCAGTTCACCGCACCTCACCGCACCTCACCGCACCTCACCGCACCGCACCTCACCTCACCTCACCTCACCTCACCTCACCTCACCGCACCTCGCCTCACCACGTACCATGATTGTACTCGCGGCTTCTCCGAAGCGCTCCTACCAGATCACCATGCCCCTCATTCCCCATCCTTGCAGTCATATCCTCCCCACTCCCCTCCCCACTCCCCTCCCCACTCCCCTCCTCATTCCCCTCCTCGTTCTCCTCCTCATCTCCCCTCAGTATTTTTTCCAGCGCCCTCCCCTGCCGAACATCCACTCCTTTCATTCTCCTCTCCCCCGCCGCCTCCCACACGGACGGAGTTGTTGCCACCCACTGGCACCCAGCAGACCCAACAGATCCAGAAGAGCCGTCCCCGCACAGGACCAATGGCGGCGCGCCACGTGGCAGTGCGAGGATGAGGTGGCTGGAAGGGGAGTCGGCGCCAGCAACGGCGGCACCGAAGCGGATGGTATAGGCCGGGGTTGTGCCTCGCGATATGGACCTGCGATGCGCAGGAAAGGAAGGAGAGAGGGGGGGAGAGGAGGGGAGGCGGAAGCAAAGGGCAGGAATGGGGGCGGCACCGTATTGGATGGTGTAGGCCGGGGCCGTGCCTCGCGATATGGGCCTGCGGTTTTCTGGATAGAACAGGGAATGGGGGAGGGTGTGGGAGGGAGAAGAAAGGTGGAGGGAGGAGGGTGGAGGGTAGAGGAGGGGAGGGGGAGAGGAGGTGGAAGAAGAAAGAAAGAGGCTGGGTGGTCGAGCGACTCAACTCTTGTGCATCAGAGTGGTTCTGAGTCGCATGGTATTTTTGAGAATTCACAAAAGCACAGAGATTTCTAAAAGGAACAATTTAATGATTTCTCAAAATCGGCATGGGTGGTTGGACACAAAAAGGGACGACGGGAGGGGAAGGATAGAGAAACGGTCGAACGAGCGAGAGTCATGCATTGGGATACGGATGTTACGAGATGTGACATGCCAGGAAGGTGTTTTTTTTTCTCTCTCTCCCTCTCTCACCTTGGAACGAAAGCGCTTGGTGCTTATCATGCCTCTAATCCCACGGCGCGCCAGAAAATAAGAGTGGAATTTGTTTTACCTTGAAATGGATATGCTGATAGTGCCTCTCACTCCACGGGCGTTCAGCGGGTGCACAGAGAAGTGGGCTGCAGAGTGCGTCGTGATGAGGGATAGAGGGCGAGGGCGAGGAGAGTGGGAAGAAATGAGAAAGGGGGGGTGGGATAGAGGAAAGAATGAAGAATCATATGGGTGGAACCGAGAGACGGAGAGTGGTGCCGAAGTGGGCTGCAGAGAAAGTCGTTGGAGGCGCGGAGCGAGGAGGGTAGAAGAGAAGGAAGAGAGGGAGAACGGGGAAGTGGGAGAGAGCGAAGAATAAAGAGAAGAGGTCGGAAGTAGGGAAAATGATGGATATAGAAAGTGTGTGAGCAAGGGAGGGAGGGAGAGAGGGAACGAAAGAGGCAAAGAAACAAGCAGCAGCAGCTAGAGGGATTTCGGCCCCAAAAAAAACAGTGCAAAGCGCAGCATGACTGGAAGCAGCAGCTAGAGGTTGCGGTCTCACTGCTGCAGCAGAAATAGCAGGAACAGCAGACACAAGCCTTGTGCGGACAAAGCAGAGGTCAAAGCAGATTGCGATAGTGCGCCGCGGCCTGGCCTCACCTTCCCCCGTGGGGCTGGCGAGCGCGAGTGACGGAAGGAGAAAGGCGAGAAGCGCTGCTGCACGCACGAGCGACGGCAGAGGGGGGAGAGGGAGAGAGAAGCAGGGAGAGAGACATGAAGACTGGGCAGCAGTCAGGAGAACGGGCAGGAAGGAAGCAAGACGATCAGGGGAACAGGCAGCGAGAGAAGCAAGGCAGTCAGGGGAACGGCATGGGATTGGGAGGGAGGCAGAGAGGGGGTACACCGGCGGAGGAAGGGAAGGAAGAGCATCAGTAGCATGAGTGGCATGAGTGGCATACACACAAACCATGATGCTTTGAGATTTGAGGGCGTACCTACGGCGGCGATAAGCGGGGCTCGGGATAGCGAGAAACGTTGACCCTCACGTTGACCTCCGCGTTGACTCTCCCGTTGACTCTCGCGTTGACCATCACAAGGAACAGTCATTGTGCTTGCCAGTCCGAAACCCAAGAGGCAGTAGGCCATGAACACCAACGCAACAGCAACAGCAGTAAAACGGCAAAATCTCCGCGAAGGAATCACTGCGATAGCTCCTTCGAGTACAACCTCTACTTGGAGAGCCACATACACTGCCTCCGCGGCTGTGCGACAGAGAGCCTGCGACGGGTGCGACGCTTCTTCTTTGCGCGCGCAGCTCAACGCGTAGCCGCTTCTATGGCATTAAAGAGCGCTCTATTGTAGCGTTAGGTCGGCCTAGTTGGAAGAACTTCAAGCCTAGAACCCAGCATTGCCAAATGGGCTGCCTTGAGCAGAGTAGATTTGTTGTGAATTCACAGAGATGGGCGTAGTGTGGTGTGGTGTGGATGCAAGGGTGATGGTCAAGCACCCGCTGAAATCTCTGCTTGAATGGATACTGCCCATGCATCACGCAGCTAGGGCGTTCAAAACGGCGAAACCAATACATTCCTCGGTTTAATGCGTTGCAAAGCGTTTCTGAACAATTATTATCCATGGCCCGGCAACCAATAATTCAATGTTCGTGTTTGCTTGCAAGGAGGCACATCCGTGATATGTGCGGTTCGGGGTTTTCAAGCAGTGAATTATTGTCTCCAATAAAACTTCGAGACAGCGATATTAGCTTCGTTACAAGCAACGCTTGAATGCTATGCCCACAGGGTTGCAATACTAGACCCAAAGTGCCTTATTGCACAAATCCCCGAACTATTTCATACAATGGCACAATGCCAGCACGTACACAAGATGATCATAAAAAAAAACCAAACACAGCTCTGCTCTGTTTTGCAACCCAAATTCCACCCTGTCACCTCCTACCTATGCCAACGAGAGGAAGAGATAGGGTGCGAAGGGGCAACCACCTCCACCAGTTATTTACCACGTTTGTCCGTGTGCCTTCGTGCAGGCCTTTTATCCAGTCCCAGAAACGGCTCGGGAACCCTATTCTGCCAAGCCCCCCGAAGACGAACTCCTTTGAGACCAAAGCACAGGCTTATTTGAAATCCACGAATAACAAATACCAGTCTTCATCGCCATTGCAGGCAGCGTCAATAATTAACCTGTACTGCTGAAGTGTTTTGGCAGTGCGGCAGTGGCGCCCGACACATTCTATGCAACCACACGTGCCATATAGATTGTCAACACAATTCTACAGCAGGGTCAGCATCGCGTTCTTTCACAGCGAAACTGCTCCTGTCACAAGCACCATGCGAAGCAGAAGAGGCACTGCCGTGGTGCTGATATGGCAGGCGCGGCAGTTGAGGCACGTGGTGTGACGCATGGGAGAGCCTGTGGGCCACAGGAGGACTCGGCATGAATGCTGCTCCTGCCTCTGCTCCTGCCTCTGCTCCTGCCTCTGCTCCTGCCTCTGCTCCTGCCTCTGCTCCTGCCTCTGCTCCTGCCTCTGCTCCTGCCTCTGCTCCTACCCTTCTCCTGTCCCCTAACCCTGGACCCACCACATCCCCTGCTTTATCTGTATTGTCTGCTGTCTCTCCTTCACCCTCGTTATAAGCTCCCTCGATGACAGCAGGAAAATCATCCTTGTGCATGTTGCTAAGAGTGCGGCTGCGAACAAGGATATCCGTACCATCTGATAGGCTGATTTCTTCTTCAAGAAATTCAAGGCTCTGGTAGGTAGCAGTGCCCTCCGAATCATCAGCACAGGGAAACTCGGAGGTTTCACACTTGCTAGCAGATGTTGAGTCAGCACCCACGGATGCAATAGCACCCTCAGCAGCATTAGCACCCTCAGCATCCTCAGCAGCACTCTCAGCAGCGTTACCTGTATCCATGTCGAAAGAAGCACTGGCAGCAGGGACTTCGAAAGATGCAGTAGCCACAGCTGCACCAGCTCCACAGTTACTCTGCTCACCCTGCTTCTGACTCACCTGCCCACCTTGCTGCTCCCCCTGTTGCTCCCCCTTTTGCTCCCCCTCTTGCTCCCCCTGTTGCTCCCCCTGCTGCTCCCCCTGCTCCTCCCCCTGTTGCACCCTCTGATCCAACCCCACAAGTGGCGCCCTCCAAATAATGCCTCCTACGAGCGAGCCAGCTTCAGCGGCTCCCTCAACTGATTCACCAGCTGCACTGACTGCCACTGACAGCACAGCAACACTGGGAGACCTCTCACCGTCCACGGCGAAGCAAGCGAACCGATTGAACACGCCCTCAGTCATGTTTTGAACAAGCCCTTGCAAAGAAGAGCCAGCACTGCCGCCCCCACTGCTGCTGCTCCACCTGCTGCTGCACTGCGCCCGCCACATCTGTGGCTTCAACTCCGCCCACGAGTCACACTGAAGCGAGGCGACTTGTAACGAGGAGGCTTGTAACGAGGACGGGTCGGGGTAATCAACGAGGAGATTGATGGCGGAGGGTTTTTGCGCAGGGCCGATAACACGGATGTCGTAATTCACCACCACATGGCCGTCCCTGAAGGAAAGTAGATCGAGAAGCAAGGGAGAACAAAGAAACGGTATCTCAGGCACCTCAACGATGTCAAATACCGTGACAATCCCTTAGGCGCCTCAGACATGTCGTGATTCAGCACCACGTGACCAGCCCTGAAGAAGACAAGAGGAACAAAGGGAACCAAAAAATGCTAAACAGGGTGCTGCTTGGACTCGTCTACGAAAAGTTGCTCCTAAGAATATGAAAAAAGCGCGCGAAGGAGGAGAACTAGTAGCAAGGAGCTGCACCTGCAAGGAGCTGCACCTGCAAGGAGCTGCACCTGCAAGGAGCTGCACCTGCAAGGAGCTGCACCTGCAAAAGCTGCTGAGCTCAAAAGTTTCGGGGTAATCCTACTGAATCCACACTGCTTCCCCAGTATTTGAACAAGACCTCTTTTACGTTGTCGTCTCAAGCAAGAAACAACAATGCCGCGAGCGAATTTTGAGAATTCCCACATATTCAGGTCGTTGTATCTTACTTGAAAGCTCCCAGCATAAACGCCCCTCCGGGCATAGCCCCTGATAGCCCCTCCCCCAACTCCCCCCTCTCCCCCATCTTCCCCATTCCCCCCTTCAGGCGCACTTCCAGGCGGGGGTCCTGTGGGGGGTAGCGCGGAATGATGATGCCTGTGGTGGGAGGGGGGAAATGGCAGGGCGAAGGACGAGGTGAGGAGGAGCGGTTGGTTAGGAGGGATGGCAGGGATGGCAGGGATGGCAGGGATGGCAGGGATGGCAGGGATGGCAGGGATGGCAGGGATGGCAGGGATGGCAGGGATGGCAGGGATGGCAGGGATGGCACGGATGGCAGGGATGGCACGGATGGCAGGGATGGCAGGGATGGCAGGGATGGCACGGATTGGGTTTGTTGGTGGAGTAGACGAGGGACAACAAGGGGATGGGGTGCGACACAGTATGCGCATACAGTGGGCGCATACAGTGGGCGCATACAGTGGGCGCATACAGTGGGCGCATACAGTGGGCGCATGGGGAAAATCGCATTGCCGGCCAAGTGAGGTGCATGCAGCTCATACTGTGGCTCATTGGATGAACAAAAAAAGGGCGAAGTCGGGGAGGAGGGGGGGTGGGGGGAGAGGGGGGGAAACGAGCTCATCGTACTGTGGCTGATTTGCAGGGTGTTTTCGAGAGTTCTCAAAAACACCCTGAAACAACGAGCTGCGCCGTACTGTGGCTGATTTGGTGAACCAAAATAATGGGAGAAGTGGGGAGGAGGGGGGGAGTTGGGGGAGGGGGGGGAAGTTGGGGGAGGGGGGGGAGAGCTGGTACATGACAGTACACACGGGTTCTCCGTAGCGCTCCCATTTTGATCACCATGCCCCTCATCCGCCATTCTTACAGTCATGTCCTCCCCTCTCCCGATTCTATCATACCCCTCATCCCCACTGACCACCACCACAGCAGCACGCACGCACGCACGCCATACACTGTCAATAGAAGGGATAGAGGGATAGAGCTCACCACCACTTCCACTCCCCACACAAAAAGAGGGATAGAGCTCGTACCGTGGCTGTACTCGCGGCTTCTCTGTAGCGCTCCCAACAAATCATCGTGCCCCTCCTCCCCGCCTTCCACCACAGCAGCAGCGCTCACGCCATACCCTGCCGCTGCATCACTCCCCTCCCCCACCGCTGCACTATCCTCCCCACTCCCTCCCCCCTCCCCCACCGCAGTTAGCATGTCTTCCAGTGCCCTTCCCTGCCGCGCATCCACCCCTCTCATCCTCCTCTCCCCTGCCGCCTCCCACACGGATGGTGTTGTTGCCACCCACTGGCACTCAGCCGATCCCCCGCATAGGACCAATGGCGGCGCTCCACGTGGCAGCGAGAGGAGGAGGTTGCTTGGAGGGGAGTCGGCGCCAGCGACGGCGGCACCGAAGCGGATGGTGTAGGCCGGGGCCGTGCCTCGCGATATGGCCCTGCGGTATGTTGGGGAAGAAAAGGGAGAAAGGGGGGAAGGAGGGGAGGGAACAGCGGAGGGTAGGGGAGTGAGCGGAAGTGTTGGCGGCACCGACGCGGATGGTGTAGGCCGGGGCCGTGCCTCGCGATATGGACCTGGGGTATCCAAGCAGGAGAAAGGGGAGTTGGGGAGGAGGAGAGGGGAAGGCGGAACGGAGGGGAAGAGGTTGGTGGGAGGGGAGTGGGCGTCAACGGCGGCACCGAAGCGGATGGTGTAGGCCGGGGCCGTGCCTCGCGATATGGACCTGCGGTGTTCGAATTAGAGAACGGGGTTGTGGGGGGGGAGGAGATGGGAGGAAAAGCGGAGGGGAGGGAAGTGGGCGGCAGTGGTGGCAGCACAAAAACTGATGGTGTAGGCTGGGGCCGTGCCTCGCAATTTAAACCTTTGGTGTCCGGGAAGAGAAGGGGCGTGGGGGAGAGGAGGGGAGCCGGGAGGGGAGGGGAGCAGAGGGGGAGAGGAAGGGAGACGGGAAGTAGGGCACTGGGGAAGTGGAGGGGAGGGGGGGAACGAGGGTAGAGGGGAGAGAAAGGGAGAGGGGGATGAGGGTAAGGAGTATTGAGAGAGGAAAGAAAGCAGCTGGAGGATTTAGCTCTCGCGAGAGCTCTCATGAGTCATTGGGAGGCGGTTAATGCAAGCAATAAATTTCGCGGAAGGAAAAAAATGGTGGAGGGAGTAAGAACCATGTTACGCAAAGGGAGGGAAGGGAGGAAGGAGAAGGTAAAGCCGTGCAATAAAAACAATACGAGATGCGGCATGCCAGTTAAGCAGAGTGTCCTTTACCTTGAGACGGATATGCTTATAGTGCCTCTCATTCCACGGGCGCTCAGCAACTGGGCGTCGAAGTGAGCTGCAAGGGGAGCATCGTGGGGGAGGCGCGGAGCGAGGAGAGTGGGAGAGGGGGGGAGAAAAGAGAACGGAGCGTGGGAGAGAGGGAAGAAAGGAGAACACAACATGATTATAATGCCTCTCACTCCACGGGCGCTCAGAAGCCAGGCGGCGTAATGAGCTGCAAGGAGCCCCAGTGGGGCGCGGGGGAGCGAGCGAGGAGCGTGGAAGAGGGGGATGAATGGAGAATGGGGAAGTGCGAGAGCGAATAACCAAAAGAGTAAGGGGAAAGGGAAAAGGAAGGAGCGAGGGAGAGTCGGGGCAAGGGAGCGTCGGGGTACGAGAGTGTGAAGCAAGGGAGTGTGGGGAAAGGAAAAGATGGAGAGGAGGCGGGAAAGAGGAGAAGTAGACAAAGAGGAAGGTTGAAGAGAAGAGTGAGAAGTGTGGAAGAGGCAGAAGGATCCTACTGCAGATGAAAGCAGCACGAGAAGATGCGGTCTTGCTGCAAAAGAGACAAGAGACACACGAGAAGCAACAGAAACAGAGGAAACAGCAGACAACAGAAACAGAGGAAACAGCAGACACAAGAGATTCCAGCGGTGCGTGGCCTCACCTTCCCCCGTGCTGCTGGCGAGCGCGAGTGACGGCAGCACAAAGGCGAGAAGCGCTGCTGCAAGCACGAGCGACGGCAGGTGAGAAAGAGGGGTGGCGGGAGGGAGAGACAAAGACAGGGCAGGCAGGCGGGAAGCAAGGCAGTCAGGAAACGGGCAGGGAAGGAAACAAGGCAGTCAGGAAACGGGCAGGGAGGGAAGTAAGGCAGTCAGGGGAACGAGAGAAGAGAGGGAGGCAGAGAGGGGTGCAGCGACGGGAGAGAAAGGATTACCCGACTGGAAAGAGAACACGCGCACGAAAACAGCACCAGCGAGGGGGGCTAGTGGTACGTTGAAATTTCGGGGATTACCTACGGCAGTGATAGGCGCGGCTCGGGATCTCGAGGAGCGTTGACCATCGCGTTGACTTTCACGGGAATCACTCATCGTGCGTGCCTCAAAACACCCACGAGGTACTATCGGAGGTCACAACAGCAACTCAACAGCGGTAGTAGCGCGGCGCGGCAAGTCGACTCCCTCGAACAAATTACTACTGCGAGGTCTCTTCGAATGAAACCTCAACTCAAGTTGATCACATAAGGAGAGCGACGGTCACAAGTAGTACCTCCGCAAAACTGTGTGACTCCTCTTGAGCCCGTCAAGTTGAAACCTCTGAGCTGAAAGTCAGCCGGGTGCTCTTTTGAGGCGCCTAAAAAATCTGCGGCGGCGCGTGCGTTCCTCTATGGTTGCTACTGAATGAAATCCCGCCAGAATCTCAAATGTCGCTGTCTGGAAGTGGAAATAAGCGACAATCGAGAATGCTCGCAAGGGGTGTACATTCTAGTAATACGTTGCAGGTTCAGTCGAGCTACACGGTACCAGCAGCTTACTTGCGACGAGCATGCGAGCTCCACAGCGAAGGTCGCATGTCGCCGTCGCCACCGTGAGGTCGCATGGCGTCGCATTCTGTCGCAGGAATCCAGAGATGGATTTGCTAGCTCACGGAGCATTGTGACTTGTGCCCGTCCACTGGGAAGGTGAGGGCCGCTCGTCGCACTATGCATTGCACAAGGCGCATACGTGTTCGCAAAATTAGGGTTAAAGTATGGTATCACGGAAAACGCCACCCCAAGCAGCGGTGAGGTCGCTGCGCGCGGCGACCCACCGTTCCAGCTGCACACGGCGGGAATTCTCGAGACGACCCGTAACGCAAAGCGCGCCGGAAATGGTACTCCGAACCGCACTTAGAGGAAGCAGTGGCGTTACTAGTTAGTGGTGCTGTAAGTCTAGTACATCTGCAACGCTTCGCCAGCATGTTTCTTGCCTCACGCAAGGCTGTCGCGCCGCGAGGTATGCTGTCGCGACACGCAATTCCAATAAGATCCACAATCCTACCCTCAATACCCAATATGCGGCCGCTAGTCCCGTTTGTGACTCGGAAAATTCCACGTAATAGAGTCAGTACTGTAGCTGTGCGCGTGCTGTTGTGCGAATACTGTGCCGTCATTCACGGATGGTTACATAACCGCCGCTATAGCATCGGTGGATCGATATGACAGCCATACTTTCGGTGGGTTTACGCTACAGTAACGATAGACCAGCCATAGGCTCACTGGAAGTTGCTGGATCGATATGCCAGCCATGATACGCTACAGTAAGATAGAACAGCCATAGGTTCGGTGGGTTTAGATGGATAGGACAAGCACAGGCTTTTGGGATATGAATCTATGCTTGACAGCCATAGCCTCGCTGACAGCCATAGGCGCGTGTCGCTTTCCAGCCTAGCCAGCGATCGCACAACCTCTGCCGCACGAGGCGGGTTGTGTCAGAACTTGTGTCGCAATGGTGGGTGGCTCTTGTGCCTCCAGCACCCGTGATGGCGGGCGCATCGCGGGTGCAACGATGTGAAGGATTCTTGTGGTCTGGCGAAATCTCGTTGCAATTCGTTAAAACCCGCAGGCCAAGAAGGCCAAATTTGGTTCATCCTTCCTAGCGTTGGTTCGCAGGCCTTTTGCGTCCAACTTTTCGGACACTCCTATTGGTTCGCAGGCCTTTTGCGTTTTCACTCCCAACCAACCTTCCTAAGGTTGAAATTCTTGGCCTGCGGGTTTTAAGCATGTGGATATAGTATATCCAAAATCTGTTGCCGATATAATATACCTGTAAAGCCCTTGCTGTCAGCTGATCAAACTATTTTCAATCCGCAGTGTTTCCAGCCATTGTCTCTGTATTGTAACATGTGATGAGTTCAGAGGACATGCATAAATAATTGCTTCTTGGTATGTGCCCAAATTTCTGTAGGTTTTCATAAACGGCATTCCTAGGTGTAAAGGTGTCTGGGAGCAAGTACTCAATTATGTGTACAAGTAGGGAAATGATGGCGTTAGTGACTCCAAACATAGTAACGAAGAAGGTGGGAGGAAGCACTGGATACAAGGAGAGGGACCCATGAAGGGAATGGTAATTAACACTGCGCATGGCAAGAATTCTATCCTTGAACCAACTCTACTCTTCTGGAGTCAAAGTTAACTTGTCGTTGACCTTGTTCTTGGTGCCGACTGTGAACTCATGCTCAATGAGTGCAATACCTTCAAATGGATTTTGTGATAAATCATCCACGTTCATTTGTTTCTCAGGCTCCTCTTTCACGTCTGCTTGGAAATCTGATCCGACAAGAGTACGAATGCCATCGTAGTATGTACCAAACCGCGATGGAGCGAACTTTATTCGCTTGCTGATGCGTGTGGCTGCAGCATGCGGCTCTCGGCTTCGGCAGGAACTTACTCCACCATCCTTGACCCACATTCTTCTTCTTTTCCGCTTTGGCTTCTTGTCCTTGTCTTCTTCACTTTTTATGGCTGAGCATCGGTCCATGGGCTCTGAAAGACTAGTAGCGGCGTCCATTATAAGAACCGATGTGAAGCGTGTTGCTCACTCTCTGAACACAGTAAACACGAATGCGAGAAAGTCCGGAAGGCGGGAAGCAAGAAAATCAATGCCAGCTATTTCCGCAAGCTTCTGCTTGAATGTGCTGGAAACAGTGGGATGGGAAAAGCGGGATGACGTATATTCTCTGACGTACGATGGGAAAAGCAGGAATGGCGTATTCTAGGAAGTGAAATGGGAAATGCAGGAATCATGAAAAAATTCTAAGCGTTCATCGCTTTCAAATTTGTGTATTGTGAAAGCGAAGCTGACTGTAACGCAATTTTGAGCATCTTCGAAGCACGCTATTCGCCTTCTCCGAATATATAATGTGGGTTGGGGTCATTCTTCCCCCACCCACGTCTCTCATTTTTACAATCGCTCAAGTTCAATTCCCAGTTCCGAGACCCATCCCGATTTTTTCGGAGGCTCCGACTCCCTCCCGATTTTTTCGGACCTCAACCTGGCGAGGGTGAAAACCCTTCCACGCTTTCAAGCACCCTCTACCCTGCTGTCAGATATTCTTAACTACAATCAAGCTTCGATGGCGCCGAGCGACAACGCCCCGAATCGTTCGGACAACGAGAAGAATACCCGTGAAATTACGGGAGATTGCCGCAACAAGCGGCGGGCGGACGACGAAGGCAACGCGCCCACTGGTGTCGACCTTTTGACGCGCAGTGGCGAAGTCAACAAAACCGCCAACCAGCAGCACCCCTCGGCACCTGTGGCGCCAGTGGCGCCTGTGGCGCCTATGGCGCAAGTGGCGACGACGACACTTGCAACACCTGTGGCGCCACACGCGCCTGACGCCGAGCACGCGCCAGCACATGTGGCTGGACCGTCGCGTCAGCGCCAGAGGCGCCGAACTGGGTCTTCGTCTGACGCGACGGCTGACCCTGTTTTGACTCCGGCGCTGACTGCTGACCAAGTCCATGTGATAATGAGAACGAGAATGAGTGAACTATGAAAATGAAGTGAGTACAAATATGAAACCCTAATTGGTTGTACCCCCTATGGGATACCCCACTATAGCCTACACAACAGCATAAGCTATAATGTTCTGACACACCCCCATAGGCAAAGTGGGGGAGAACAAGGGGTCACAAGACCAGTCAAGCAAAGCAAAGCAAAGCAAGCTCAGGGTGGATCACAAAGTCACCACACAGTCCGAGCACAGGGTCAAGGCCACACGGCCAGTTCACATGCAAGAGTACACACATATATATAAAGCTAGACAAGCAAGAGCAGGTATATATATATGTGAGAGTACAAGCAAGGTCAAGAGGAGAGCAAGTGAGGCAAGACGGGCACAAGACCCAGCTGAGTGCAGAAGCGCTGATGATCACAAGGCGGAAGTGCCTTGGTGAAGACATCAGCAGTGTTGGCCTCAGAGGCCACGTACGCAAGCCGCAACTGTCCACGTTGCTGTAGCTCACGAGCAAGGAAGTAGCGGAGAGCAATGTGCTTTGTTCTGTGCTCCAGTCGCTGCTCTCGACACAAGGCCAGCATGGCCTTGTTGTCTACGTACAGGACTGGAGGAGAACGAGGCGGCTCTCCAAGGTCGGTCAGCAGGTAGGTGAGCCAGCGAAGCTCCTGTGCAGCCATGGCCCCGGCGTAGATCTCAGCCTCACAACTCGAGCCAAGAACAGAAGACGAGCGAGTAGCCCGCCACGAAACAGAGCCGGAACCAAGGCTGAAGGTGTAACCCTGTGACGACCGCTGCGTAGCCTGGTCGTCAGCCCAAGAAGCGTCCGCGTGCCCAGTGAGGACCACTGGACTCCGCCCTCCAAGCACTAGCCCCATGCCCGACGTACTGCACAAGTAGCGCAACACCCTCTTCGCTGCAGCCATGTGCTCTGGTCTGTGTCTCCCAGGAGCAACATAGCGTGCAAGAATGCTAAGAGGGTATGCAAGGTCAGGTCGTGTGCAGGTCATCAGGTACATGAGGCAGCCAACAAGCTCTGGGTACGGGCCACTCGACTCTACGGACTCATCCGAAGGCAGAGCTGAGAGCGAGTGGCGAGTAGACAGAGGAGTGGCCTGAGGCGAGGAGTACGTGAAGCCGAAGCGCTGAAGGACCTGCTGCACCATGTGTGACTGAGTCAGGGTAATGGTGCGGCGTGCTCTGTCCCGGGTGATCTGCAAGCCAAGG